AAATAATGCTGCAATCAGTATAGGAGTGCTTAGGTTCTTTTGGGTTAGGGTTTGGGGTTCCTTCCAAAATCCCAGAAGTGATGTAGCTGAGTCTAAAAGCTAATCCATTTTTAGTTTTCTGAGGAAATTACATACTGCTTTCCACAATGGCTACACCAACAGTGCAAAATGGTTCTTTCTACACATCCTCACCAATTTCAACATTGTTTTATTTATTCAATTTTTTACAATATCTACATACTTCTTTACTCACAATTCCTTTATATTTATCATTTGTATGTAATAATGTTCTTCCATCCTATAGAAATTGGTTTACTTTATTTAAATCTTGATTTTTGTTTTTTTCTCAAATGTGCCCAAATAAGTGCTCCCAAATATTTTTTTCTGCATAGAATTTATTGTTTTGTGAATCAAAAGATGAACATATTTCATGAATTCTAAAAAAACCCTAAGCCTTCATCTCTTCAAATAATGTTTCTTCCTTATTTTTTTCATTATATTCTTCTGGTATTTTGATTATATTTTTATCAGTCTCATAACAACTATAAGATTTTTATCACTGTGTTCTTCAAGTCCTCCTTCATGATACTGATGTATGGTATTTCTATAATGCCTTTTATCTACTTTCTTCAGTCATATCATTATAAAATCTAGAAGCAATCATTCCAATATCAGCAAACTCTGTGGAACTTATTGTCTTTTTAATACAACTCTTACTAATAGTACCTTATTTATCTATATGTTTTATGATTTAGGTGTTTGTATATGAGAGAGTAGTGTAATACAGTTGCCTTGGAAGTTTTCTTTTAGAAATAATTCAACATACATTTATTCAGAGAGATTGATGAGCAGTAACTGCTTCCGCCAGATGTTAAACCAGGAAAAGTTTAAATTCTTGTCTTGTGTTCCTTTGACCATGCAGATGATATGCTCTAAGATGAAAACATTTATAAGAAATTGCTTGTGGTTTTAGGGAGAATTTTTCCTCCTACTCAGGATAGTGATGGAATTAGATGATAATTTTGCTTTTTACAGGCTTGTTTTTTCCTATTTTTATATTTTTAGTTTCAATGTAGCACTTAAAGAAGTGTAGCTTTATGCAAAGTTCTTCATTCTAATTTCATTATATGTGTGGATTCAAGATATTATCTTGTCACTCAGGAAGTCATCAGAATAATAATATACATACACAAGATCATCATATGTTTAAGAGAAACTTTATGTTATGCTCTTATCTCCATGTTATCATTCCCCTTTGATTTGTCTTATCAGGCTTTCCTCTCTTTGACATTTCAACATATACAGATATAGATATGGATATAGATATAAATATAGATATCTATATCTATGTCTATATATATGGTGTCTGTGTGTGCAATGGCAAATAATAAAGTAATATATCATATATAGACATATATACCGTTAAGAATTTATTCAGAATTCTTGAAGCCCTAGAACGAGGATGTATATCAAATCCATTGCACTATTTACTATTTGGTGGTGTGTAACTTTATCAATATTTATTTTAAAATAATGCATGTATGCATAATCTATAATTCTACCATATCAGGGCAACTAGTACCTGCAATGGGTTCCCACCAGAAAACCCAAGAAAGTAGACAAAATATATAAAGAAAAAATTCTAAGATATTAAAAATAACTCACTGAAGACTGTGATCACTGAATGAAAGGAAACAAAAAGGGTGATCCCTTTTGCTCTCTACCTTGGGGTGTTTTTCAGACTTTGAGGCAGTGAAAGGGAATCCGAATAAAACATGACAGTCTCACTGGTTGAGGAGAAATGTGTTGGTATTCAAGGAGTCTACTGAAGGTGAGTTTTATGTAAGAGTATTGGACAAGAGGGAGATAAGTATATTTTGATCTTTAGAAATCTGCATTAAATTTTCCTTGATTTTTGTAAACAAATATGGAGCTGTGCAAATATAAAATAAAATTCTATGAAGCTTGCATCTATGTTTATGAGTGAGTGGTCTGAATTTCTATTCCCTATTTTGCTTATGAATGGTTTTTATTTAAAAGCTGTGTATTCATAAAATGTTTCAGAGCATCTTCTTTTCACCTTATATTAGTTTAGTGTTAATAGTATTAAAGATTATAAATAAAATTGAATTTTTGAATGGCTAATAGAACTTATCTGGACATGTATCTAGACTTAATGCTTATTGATGTCAATATTTTAAATTAATTCGGTAATTTTTATACATGGTAGGGAATTTCTATTTTAAGATATAGCTTAGGGAAATTCATGTTTGTGAAATGAAGTGTAAAATTATTTATATATGACCACCATTTAATTTCTGATACATAAGCATTTATAACCACTTTTTATTCTCCATGATTTTAAACTTGTTTATTACAAATTTTGATCAATAATTTCATTGGTATATCAATTTATTTTGCATTTATAAAGAATCAAGTCTTTGTGTTGTCTCCTTTTTCCCTCTTATATCACATTAGTTTCTGATTTCTTATTTCTTAAATTTTTTTCTTCTAAATATTGTTTATTCCATTTCCTCTTTCTAACTTCACAAATTAGATATTTAGCTCTTTGATATTTGGCCTTTGTTCTTATAAAAGCATTTAAATCTGTTCATTTCTTATTAATATTAACATTAGCTGCATTCCATCTTTTAATATTGTGTTTTCATTCACTTTTAATTACCTTATAATTTCATTACTATTTCTACTTTTACATATTTTTAAAGAATTGTCTTTTAATATTTCCAATTGCAGTTTTATTATTTAATTTTTTTATTTTAAGTTTTTTATAGTCAGCTTATACACCTTCAGCATTAGATAAATTCATTTTACAACTTCTCTTCCTGAGAAATACAAGTTTATTCAAAGATTTTTAAACTCTACTTCATGATTGATCTTTTGTATTAGAGAATTTTCATTCTTTTGTTATGTTAATACTATAAATTTATAGTTAGAGTTTTACTCTTTTAAATATTTTATTTATTTATTTTTAGACAGAGGGGCAGGGACAAAGAAAAACAGGGAGTGAAACATCAATGTGTAGTTGCCTCTTGCATGCCCCCAACTGGGGACCTGGCCCACAACCCAGGCATGTGCCCTGACTGGGTATCGAACTAGCAACCCTTCAGCCCCTTTGGTTCGCAGCTTGGCACTCAATCCACTGAGCAACACTAACCAGGGCTATACAGTTAGTATTTTTAAATTTATCTACACTTTCACATTTTTTTAATGTTCATTATTCCTTTTTATTCCATATATACCTTAATCTGGGATTATTTCTATTTGGCTTCAATTAATTATATTAAATTTTCTTTTGTGATTGCCTATGGACAGTAAACATTTTCATTCCTTGTCAGAAAGTATCTTTACCTTCTTTTATTGGAACGATTTTTTTGAGTATATATAATTCTAGATCAACAGTAATGTTTTCTTAGAGCTTTGAAGACATCATTCCACTGTCTTCTGCTTCCATAGTGGTTTTGCCCAGTTGTCTGTAAACAGACATATGCTATTAAACCAGACCTCTCAAATAATTATAAAAATAAAAGAAACTATATTTATTGGTTTATCATGTTGGATAATTTTAATTGCTTTAATTCTGCCTAGCAATACAACACACCTGAACATGGTGTTGGGAAAATATGTGCAAAATAGGATTTTGTTTTGATGAATGCTTTCATTTCATTCAGGCTAAAATTTTTAGTATAATCTTTTCTTTTTTTATTTTCTCCCTCTCCTGCTCTTTTATCACTTGTATTACCTCTCATTGAATTCTTCCCCACCAACCTGTGTAAATCCCATGGTGTATAGCTTTATGTACTTTCCTCCAACTGTTTGTAATCATAAGAAAATGTTACATATATGTATATATGTGTACGTATATGTATACATACACATATGTGTGCACACACACATATGTGTATGTATACATACTAATGTGCTGATGTACATATATATGGGAACGCAGCAACATTTTGTTTGCTTAAAAAATGAATTGTATTGCAAAAGCTTCTTTAAATTTTACATTTTTCTCTCAATATTTTGGAAAAATAACACTAAATTAATGTAAAGAAATTTATGTATGCATAATTCATTCAACAATGTCTTTGTGAGGACCGTTAAATATTTCCAGTAATTTACCCTTAACAGAAGAAGGTTATAAATATACTTTAAAGCAAAAGCAAGCAAACACAAACACAATAGGTAGCAGTGTTGATTTTTAATATTTCAGCTGGAAATAGGGGCCCTGAGTTTAGAGAGCCTTAAAAAAACAGTGATTTTTGTGCACATCTCTCCTCTTTGCTAAGGACAATAGCTTTATCCTATTTAGCTGCCTGATTGCATAACAAAGAGCTCTATTGCTCTCTTGTGCTGATTAAACACCAACTGAGTGAAATAACATCTATGCATGTACGCTTAGCCCATGGACACAGACAATAATGTGGTGATGGGGAGAGTGGGGGACACTGGGTGGAGGGGGGAAAGAGAGGGAAAATGGGACTGTAATAGTGCAACAATAAAAAGGAAGGTTCCGATGATCCCTAAAACAGGGTAGCATTCTTTCTATTTAATTCCCTTCTCCCCCCTGCACTTTTCCTTATGATTCTGTCTCTCCTCAGTCCTAGATCTACAAAATATATCTAAGCCACTTTATTAAAATGAAGATCCCTGGGACCCTACTGAGTCAAACAGTGGACATGAGACTCAAGCACCTTCTTTTACCACAAACTCCGCAAAGTAGATACATCTTCGATACATACCCCAAGGATTTCTCAAGAGGAAAGAATTGAAGAGGTTCATGGGACAGGAAGTGTGAAATAGAACCATGTAAAAATGTTCACTACCTTGATCAGAAATCACTCTAGTGCCAGCAAAAATGAACTAAAATGCCAAATATCATATCATTCTATCAAACACCATGCTGGAGCCCATGGGAAGATTTCACTTTATTCAGTGCCCATGATCTGACACTTCAAGTTGTTCCTTGTGCTGTGGGTTCTTTAAAAGCATCTTCTCTGAATGACATAGGACCCAAACTCCATGAACTCTTCAGGAGTGATCCACATCTGTTTGAAACCGCTCAGAGATGTCACGATGGATGTATGTATCCACACAGAGAAACACTTATCAGGAAAAGCTGTGGTCTTGATGGAACTGCCTCTGGAAGCCAGCTCTTCCAGTTCTTTCGTAAGTCTTTCCTCAAGCTCAGGAAAGAGAGTGGTGCCTCCAGACAGTATAATTTCTGCAAACATATTCTTCTGGATGTCTGTGTCATGCTTCATAATGCTGCTGGCAACCATATTTGGGAGTTCTGGGCTATGGATGCCCAGCTGGTGAAGTGTGAAAAGAATCTTAGGCACCTGGTGCAGCTAGTCCCCAATGTTGAAAACATTCCTATCTGGCAGTTGGTATTTTCTCAAGACTTCCTCTGACCTCTTAAATAGCTCTTTCTCTGGATCCAAGGCCACATAGCACGGCTTCTCTTTGATGTCATTGACTAAGTCCTTGTTGAGTATGTAAGGAAAACTACTCCCACTAGCAAGGAGTAGCTGGGTGAGGTGCTCTGTAAGGTCCCTCCCTGCCACATGGAGCTAAGTATCAGAATGAGGCAGGGAGTAACCCTCAAATATGGGGACAGTGCAAGTGACTCCTTCCCCACTGTGCACCACAAGGCCTGTGACAGAGGCAGAGACATAGAGTGCCACTACTGCATGATTGGACAGGTAGAAGGCAGACACATTGAAGGTCTCAAATATTACTTCCGCCATCTTCTTTTGAGTCTTTCTTGGGTTCAAGGAGGGCTTAGTCATGAGTACTCATCAGTCATGAGGCTGTTGATGGCATTTTACTCCAAGTTCCCACTCAAAGATATATTTCCAGTGTTTCTCCATGTCAGTCCATCCTGTTACCAGTCCATGCTCAATGGGGTAGTGCATATGCAAGGCCTCATACCTATATAAGGCATTTCCCCCCACAACATACTTTTTCTGAAAGGGTTTTGTTAAAGGCATGTTAAATTGAGGATACCTCACAACAGAACTGTTGACATGATAGGATACAGTCTCTCTAGACAGGTCTGCATTGCAGAGTCCCAATCCATTGTTAAAAATTACAGCTGGGATGTTTAACATATATGGGTTGAACATGTCCACAGAATGTTCTTCTGAACTTCACCAAAATAAAGAACACTGGGTCACTGGGTGAAACAATAGGCACCTCTGGAAGTTATAAAGCCACAGGATTCCAAAGTTCTCAAGTTGTCACTCAGGTGAGGCTAACTGGCTGTCCCCAATACCCCAGAACATCCCATCCTCAACCCATGAATCTTGTTTTTAAGGCATCCCAGGGCCTGCTCAGGGCATTTCACTGATGATTATCTCTATGTAATAATGTAGTCAAGGCAACAATTGTCCTCAGACAACATCAGAGGTATTTCAAGGGGTGGGATCTCTGAGTTTCTAAGATACTTGTACTGCTAGTGTGAAACAGGTAGACAAACTATATCTATGGCTAGCTTTGATGTCTCTGTAAACCTGAAGCAAAATTCTAACCCAGAACAATGTGAGTAAGCTCCACTGTGGGCCTGTCAAAAAAAAAACAAACAAACAAACAAACAAAAAAAACCCCAAAAACAAAAACCAAAAAATCTGGCTTCTATGCTCAGCTAGACTGCAGTTTGTGGGATAATAAAAATATCCTTCCACCCTGGCTGGTGTGGCTTAATGGACTGAGCACCAGACTGCAAACCAAGGGATCATGTGATCGATTCACAGTCAGGGCACATGTCTGGTTTTCAGGCCAGGTCCCTAGTACAGGACATGTAAGAGGCAACCACACATTGATGTTTCTCTCTCTCTCTTTCTCCCTCCCTTACCCTCTCTCTAAAAATAAATAAATAAAATCTTAAAAATATATATTTTCATTTGCTATAGGGAGGAACTAAGCATCAGACAGTTTCAAATTAGAAACAAGATACCCATAATCCAGTTCCAGAGGTACTTATATTTATTTTCTTGTTTTTAATAGCTTTATTGAAATGAAATTCACACATAATACATTCACCCATTTATAGTATACATTTCCAAGATTTTCTGTATATTCATTAATATGAGCAAACATCACAACAGTTTAGAACATTTTCTTCACCTCAAAAAGAAACCTTATTCTCTATGTCACCCTTTTAAGACTTCCCTCTTATGAGCCCTAAATACCATTAATATGTCTTTTTCTCTCTAGACCTATTTTCTCTGCCTTTTTAATATAAATGGAATCATAATATGTGGCCTTTTGTAGCTGGCTTCATTTATTTAGCATATTGGCTTCAAGGTTATTTCATTGTTTGGATGTAATACATTTACATCCAATGATTACCTGTTCTACAGTTTACAATTGTTCACATTATTGATTTATAATCTCTATTTATTTCTGTAAGGCTGGTAGTAATAACTTCTCTACTTTTTAAAACTGTTTAAAAGACACAGCTTTAGGTTTTATTGATTTCTTTATTATTTTTCTATTCACAATTTCAATAATTTCTGCAGTTTTCTTGATTTCATTCATTCTGTTTCTTCTGTTTACTCTTCTTTTTCCAGTGTGATAAGTTAAAAATTTAGGATATAGATGAAATCTTTCTACTTTTTCTGATGTAGATTGAGACAGTTTATTTTATTTGTCAATTTGGAGATGCTATTTTGCTCAGTTGTTTGGTCAAACACTAGTCTAGCTGTTACTGTGATAGAATTTTGTAGATGCTAATAACATTTAAAATAGTTGACTTAAGTAAAGGAGATTAACATCCATAATGTGGGTGAGCCTCATTCAACCCACTGAAGGCCTTTTGAGCAAAAACTAAAGTTTCCTGGAAAAGAAGGAATTCTGTCTCAAGACTATAACACAAAAAACTTGCCTGAGTTCCAGCTTGCTACTCTGCCCTATAGATTTGAGATTTAAGACTGTAACATTATGATGGTTTAATTTATGTGACAACTTGACTAAGAGAAGCTGAACTACCTTGTAGAACATAATTTCTCAGTGGGTAATGAGTGTGTATATAGTAGAGATTAGCATTTGAATCAGTAGATTGAGTAAAGATCAGCCTCACCAATGCAACTGGGCATTACTCAAAATGTTGAATCCCTTAATTATAGAACAAAAGGACAGGAAGGGCAAATTTACTCTCTGAAAATACGTGTCTCTGAGATACTCATCTTCTTCCACCTTTGAACATCAGTTATGGGCACTCCTGCTTATTGAACCTTTAGACTTAAATCAGGACTTTTACCATGGACTCCCCTGGTTCTCAGGTATTTGAGTGGACTGGAACTATACCATTAGCTTTCCTAAGCCTCCAGGTTACAGATGGCAGTTGATAGGACACCTCAGTGGCCATAAATACATGAAGAAATCCCTCAAGATAAATCTTTGTCTATATCTCTATTTCTCTGTCTTCTTGATTTTGTTTGTAGAACTTTGACTAATAAAAACATCAATTCAATTTTTGCACCTTTTTCTGAGGAATATTTAATATACAAAAATGCATATATTTAATGTATACATTTGATGAATTTGGTCTCATGTATACACCTGTGATATCATTACCACAATCAAAGTAAAATCATATTCATCACCTCCAAAAGATTTAGTGTCTTCTTTTTTGTGTGTATGGCTGCTTGCTGTGTGCATACATGCATGTGTTAAGAACACTAAGCATGAGATATACCACCTTAAATAAGTTTTGAAGTGCACAGTATAGTACTGTTAACTATAGGCACTATGTTGTACAGAAGATCTCTAGAATGTATTCAGCTTGTAATGCTGTGACTTTATATCCTTTAAACAATAATGTTCCATTTACACTGTGTGGATGATTTTAATCATCAAATCACAAATGAGAACAGCAAGCAAGCTAGAAAAAAAAACAGAAAAATATAAAACATACAAAAAAACTCAAAATGCAATACATATCTTTTTATAACAAAATGAATTCAAATATAAATGTATTAATCATCTAACCAAAAGTGGCAAAATGGATAAAGAAGCAAGATCCAACCAAAAAAAAAATCTACAAGTGTTTCAGTTTAGCTTTAAGGATACACATAGACAAAGAGTAAAGAAAGAAAAAAAGATATTCCATATAAATGCTGACCAAAAATAAAGCAGGGGATATTACACACAGCCACCATCACACACACACACACACACACACACACACACACAATAAAAAATAGAGTATAAGTCAAAAATTGTCACAAGACAGAAGATCATTATATAATAATGAACTGTCAATTCATTAGGAATATAAAACATTTATAATTATATATACACACAACTTCAGAGCACCTAATTACATTAAGTAATTACGGGTATCCTGAGAACTTAAGGACAAAATAGAGAGCAATAAAATAGTAGTAGGACATTTCACTATTCCACTATCAACAATGGGTAGAATATCCAGACAGAAAATCACTAGGCAAATAGTGAACTTGAACAAGACTATAGAGCAAATGGCCCTAACAAACATATATAAAACATTGCATTCAATAATAGTAGAATATACATCCTTGTCAAGTACAAATGGAATATTCAAGATAGATCGTTTGTTAGGCTGAAACAAGTCTTAAAAATTTAATATTTAAAATACATCAAATATCCTTTCTAATTACAATGGGATAAAACTAGAAATCAGGAGGAAAATTGGAAAATTTAAAAATATGTTGAAATTAAACAAGGGTATAGACTGTAAGTGCACCCCCAAAATAATATGTTAAAACCAAATACCCAATATGATGTTATTTGGAACTGGAGCCTTTAGGAAGTGATTAGGTCATGGGGGGTCCTTGTGAATGGAATAATGGGGTCCCAGAAAGCTCTCTTGCCCATTCTATCATGTTAGATTACAATGGAAAGACAGCCATTGTATGAATGAGTAAGCAGTTGCTCACCAGACACCAAACACACTGGTGCCTTTATCTTGGATTTCCCAGCCTGCATAACTATGAGAAATAAATGTTTGTTGTTTGTAAACAATTCCAGTTATGGTATTTTGTTATAGCAACCTTGACAGACTAAGAGGAATGTATCCCTGAACACTAATGCATCAAGGAAGAAATAAAAAAAGGAAATTTGACAAATCTTGAGACAATCGGAGATGAAAACACAACATACCAAAATAGATTCAGGAAAAACAGTCTTAAGAGGGAGGCTTATATCTACATTAAGAAATAATTCCTAGAGGAAAAAATAAGCAGGGGGATTTTAGATAATCCATACAGTAATATTTTTGCTGATATATGTCTTTTGCTGATATATATATTTTTGCTGATATAGGGCAAGGGAAATAAAGGAAAAATAAACAAATAGGACTATATCAAATTAAAAAGCTTCTGCATAGCCAAAGAAACCATTGTTAAAACACAAAGGGAACCAACCATATGGGACAAAATATTTGTCAAGAACACACTGGACAAAGGTTTGATCTCCAAAATACATAAAGAACTCCCATGATTCCACTCCAGGAAGACAAACAGTTTTTTAAAAATGGGCAAAAGACCTAAATAGACACATCTCCAAGGAGGATATACAGAGGGCCCATAGACATATGAAAAGATGCTCAACATCAGAGAGATGTAAGTTAAAACCACAATGAGATATCTCACACCTGCCACAATGTCTATCATTAACAAATCAACAAACAGCAACTGCTGGTAAGGTTGTGGAAAAAAGGGAACTCTAATGCACTGCTGGTGGGAATGCAGATTGGTGCAGTCACTGGAAAATTTCCTCAAAAAACTAAAAACAGAACTGCCTTTTGACCCAGAGATTCCACTTCTGGGATTATACCCTAAGAATCCTGAAACACCAATCCAAAAGAACCTAACACACCAATATTCATAGCAGCACTATTTACAATAACCAAGTGCTGAAAACTGCCTAAGTGCCATCAGTAAATAAGTGGATAAAAAAAAAAAACTGTGGTATATTTACGCAATGGAATACTATGCAGCAGAAAGAAAGAGGAACTCCTCCCCTTTGGGACAGCATAGATGGAAATGGAGATCATTATGCTAAGTGAAATAAGTTAGGGAATGAAAGACAAATACCATATGATCTCATCTATAAGTGGAACCTAATCAATAAAATAAACAAA